AAAAAAAATAAAGATTGTTAATTAAATTAAGTAGGCATCATTTTGGATTTAGAATTTAAAAGGGCTAGAAATAGACACTTGATCTAATCAGGTTGGGATGGGAACCAGCGGGAGTTTAAAGGCAGCATTGGGTAGCAGATAGCAAATAGGTCTCTGACCATATCTTCAACAACTCTTGTTCTTAAAATTTTTACACTGCAAGAAAATCAGGGTGATTGTTAGTTAAGGAGCTAGTGAGAAAATAGGAGGGTGGTGGGGGCAGTGAGGAAGGATGAGACGATGAATTAGGAAGTGCTCCTGGCTTGTTCATAAAAGGATTGTGCTGACCATGGTTGATGGGTCTCTGCTAGGCTCACGAGATTGAGCACATCTCATTACAACCAGAAAGCCAATGTGCATATGTGCAGTGTGTTACACGAGTGGGTACAGCTTCAGCACTAACTTAGATCAAAAGGTCAGCCAATAGCAGCTAACTTACTCCAGAATTTATTCTGTGGCAGGCACAGTGCCTTATCTTTTAGCTACTTCTCACAACAACTCCCTTTATATAAAGAAATTGAGGCAGCCTGACTCCAGAGCTCTTAACTGTAAGGTGTGCATAGTCTTTGACTTTCTCTAACAGTGCTTTTTAAAAGCATGCTTGCAAAGATATCAGAAAACTCTGAGCAGGCCAAGATGCATGAGGAAGTGGTCTCAATTGCTTGGGAAGAGTTGCTAGTTGGCAAAGTAGGCTAAAACTAATGGTTAAAGTTATTTTCGGATGCAGGCACTATTGTTATATTAATTGCTTCATCATGGTGTGCATTTTCATATTCTAATTGATCATCAAAGAAAGTCAATTAACTTCAAGGGCAAAAACCATCCATGAAATGGGAAAGGCCAAAACTAAAATTCTCACACTCTGTTTGCAAAAAACAAACATAAATCAGAACAGCTTTCTGTATTTATAGAATCACTTTCTGTATACACGCATAGCCTCCATTTTATAGGGGAGTTGGTGAATGACTAAATGGAAACCAAGTTTCAAACCAAGTTTCATTATATGGATGGTATTGTATGACCATGCCAGGGACAACTGTTTGAAAAACTGCCTAACCTTATTTCTGGCTGTAATAATTAAAAACAAAATCAAGATGAGTGTAATATATTAGTTTACTCGGTTTTTGTAGTTTCAGAAATTTACTTTGTCTCGTATTTCCAAAAAACCCCTCAAAAACTTATTTTTACTAAATTGAAACTAATATATTATTTCTACTCATCTTGTCTATTACCTTCTCCCTTTCTTGATTTAGAATAACTGGGGCTGCCATCTCGGTCCATCTGACACTGTTCACTTTCATGATGAAGTTCTTCCTCAATTCCACTCTCAGATGATTGCCCACTTAATGTTCCTTCATTCCAACTTTTACAGTTTTCATCTGAAGTGTGTCTCAGAGGCAGCACTGACTCTACGTCTTCATCATGGTTGGTTCCGTTGCAGAATTTAAGTGGTGAATAAGGCTGTGATATGAATCCAACAAATTTCATTCCTCTCTTAGCAGCTATATTAATCTAAAAGAGATTGTAGAGCAAGATGTAAAATTCATTTACATTGATCACTTTATCAGTTAACCTGTAGGTTTATTAAGGAAATTCATAAGATGAAGTAAATTGACCACTAACTAAAGACCCATTCATAAACAAATTAATAACCTGTAACAAAGCACTACTCCTAAGTCTATGTCACAGTATTATTGTGACTTCTTCAAACAGAACTGATACACTTTAGAAGTTATGAAAAGAAGCAGTTGCTGGGGAGCTCAGTCTGTTGAGCGTTAACTCTTGATTTCAGCTCAGGTCATGAGCCTAGGGTCGTGAGATTGAGCCCTGTGTTGGCTCTGCACTGAGCATGGAGCCTGCTTGAGATTCTCTCTCTCTCTCTCTCTCTCTCTCTCTCTCCCTCTCTTTCTCTCTCTGTTTCTCTCTCTCCCTCTGCCCCTTTCCCTGCTCTCACGTACTCTTTTTCTCTCTCAAATAAAATTAAAAAATAAAAATAAAAGAAATTATGAAAACAGGAATCATTTTTCTTCAAAAGGTTACTATTTGAGAAGAACTAATAATTCTATAACATGATTTTTGCAGGCCTGTTAACAATGGTTTCTCCCACTGAGGCAAAATTAAAAGCTATTCCAAGAAATCCTCAAAAATAACATGACTAAATACATCTTAATTAACAAAGCAAAAACATTAAAAGCAAAAACATACAGAATTGCTTGCTTGATGTGGGTAAAGAAAAATGTTAGAAGTCTAATTCTTGACAAATGTGTGCATGTAATGCATAGGCCCAATTCACTCTTAGGAAGCTTTCCCATCTATTTATATCTTGATGCTATTGTCTCCTATCAGGCCAAATGCACATGATCAGATTCAATCGTATAAGTTAAAGAATAGGATTCAGAAGAACATTACATAATGCCAGTGAAATAATTTGAGACGTTAAGAGGGTCATTTTCATGCCCAGCACTTTCCCCTTTCTCTGCTTTTTCTACATTTCTTTGTTCTTTTTGTGTCCACGTCTTTCTCCTCTGTTAAGCTGGCAATTCTTTTGAGGGCAAGGACTGTATCTTAATCATTTTTGTATTGTGCCACTTTGTACCTACAGGTGCTCTATAAGTATTGGTTAAATAAGTAAAAATGAAGAAATAGCAACATCTTTAATTTGGCCACTGTTTTAAACATTTAAACTACATGTTTTAAATGCTACCCTGGGAGGGGAAGAAAGAGTTATGATGGAGGTTGCAATGAAAAGGGCCGGGAAGAACTGGGGCAAAACCAGAGAGCAATACCCACTCAAAGGGGACAATGGTCACTCAGCTCTAGTCAGCAAGGAAAATTCTGGGCAGGACAGAGGTGATAGGTGTGTGGAGCTAAGACAGAGGATAGTGCTGATGCAGTATCATTTACTCCTATACATGGACATGTTGAGATTGTAACAATGCATGAAGCCTTAAAAATAACCACAAATTGTCCTTTATATCAGGTGTCCTGGGAGAGAAGAGGGAGTGGTAAGGGGGCATGACGTTTCTGCAGGTGGAAATGGGTAAATTTATTGTCAGTTCTTTCTCTAGGTCTTGTTAGTTGATTTGGGTGAAAAAGTACAGAAGGCTTTTTCTATTACTAGAAAGTTTTAGCTGGAAACATTTGGTAACAAATATAGTGTTAATGTTTTTTTTCGCCTTCTCTCTCTCTCCCTCTCTTCTCTCTGTTTTCCTCTCTCCTCTCCTTGCCCCTTCCCTGTTTCACGTAATTTTTTCTCCTTAAATAAAATAAAAATAAAATAAAGAAATTATGAAAATAGAATATTTTTCTTCTGCAAAGGTTACATTATTTGAGAAGAGATCCACATCTATAACATGATTTTTGCGGCCTGTTAATAATGGTTTCTCCCTACTGAGGCAAAATTAAAAGCTATTCCAAGAACTCTCAAAATAACATGACTAAATACATCTGACAAGCAAAACATTAAAAGTAAAAACATACACAGAATTGTTTTGTTTGATGTGGGTAAAGAAAAATTAAAGAAGTCTAATTTGATAAATGTGTATAATGAAGAAATTAATTCACTCTTAGGGAGTTCTATCGATGAAAAAAAAAAGAGCATTCATGCTATTTGTTCCATCAGGCTAAATGCACATGATCAGAATGTATATAAGTTAAAGAATAGGATCTAACATTACATAAATGCCAGTGAAATAATTTGAGACGCCTAAGAGGGTCATTTTCATGCCCAGCACTTTCCCTTTCTCTTGCTTTTTCTACATTTTGTTCTTTTGTGTCTAATGCCTTCTCCCCTTGTTGTTGGCAATTTTGAGGGTAAGGACTGTATCTAATCATTTTTGTAATAGCCACTTCACCACAGGTGCTCTAGGCATTGGTTAAATAAGTAAAAAATAAAGAAATAGCAACATCTTTACTTCCATACTGTTTTAAAACATTTAAACTACATATGTTTTAAAATGCTACCCTGAGGGAAGAAAAGAGTTATGATGGAGGTTGCAATGAAAAGGGTCAAAGAACTGGGGCAAAAAAACCCAGAGAGCAATTTAACTAAAGGGGACAATGGTCACCAGCTCTAGTCAGCAAGGAAAATTTTGGGCAGGACAGAGGTAGATAGTGTGTGGAGCTAAGACAGAGGATAGTGCTGATGCAGTATCATTTATGATCATACATGGACTATTGAGATTGTAATGCATGAAGTCTAAAATAACTACAAATTGTCCTTTATATCAGTGTCCTGGGAGAGAAGAGGGAGGGTATAGCATGACGCTTCTGCAGGTGGAAATGGGTAAATTTATTGTCAGTTCTTTCTCTAGGTCTTGTTAGTTGATTTGGGTGAAAAAGTACAGAAGGCTTTTTCTATTACTAGAAAGTTTTAGCTGGAAACATTTGGTAACAAATATAGTGTTAATGTTTCAGTTTAAATCGAAGATT